GACCAAGGTTTTGTTTCAACCAATCAGTTGAATATAAAGAGTCACAGTCACAGAATTCACAGCTGGTTGGTTGAAACAAAACCTTGGTCTGGATTTGTACTTTCTGGACCTGAACTTCCCACTTCTGTTGTTTCTGAACTAGGCTGGAATTAAAGCATCCTCTGTAATGTGCTGATTGTTACTTCTCACTCCTTATAGTGCCCCCATGACACTCACAATGAAAACTATTGGCACTAGCACTGTAGCATATTTATGCACAGCCCAGAGGAGCCAGCAGTGGATGGCATGAACAGCTAAATGCTAAGAGCATCCAAAGCGCTAAGCTGGTGTTTGGCCAGTGAGGTGCTTTGTGTGGTCAGAGGATGTTCAGGATCCACACCGAGAGGTTAAAAATTACATGCTGTCGCCGTCTTGTCACCCTGCGACCTACATGCAGCAATTATATAAGCACTTTATAGGTTAAAATTGGATTTCTGTGTGGCAGGGTAGTGTCTAATTAAAACATCAAACTGCAGCCTTGCTGTTCGCACTAGGAACACTGAGAGACACTAGGTGAAACATCACCACACTCACATCCACCATGTGGGCCTGATAACTAACCAACTAGTGCACCTGGCTTACTGGAAATTACCCTGGAGGGAACTGGAATATGCTGAGAAACTGATCACAGTCACAGAATGAGAAGATTGTGACTCAATATAGCTTGGGATGAAAACATCCAGTCTACATTTAGAGTGTTTTTTTTTTTTTTTTTTAAATAATGCATTCTCATATTCATTTACATGTAAATGGAGCCTTTTTGAGCTCTAGAAGTTTAGCTGATTACTCAGAAGCAGTGATAAGACACAATACTTAAGGTTTAAACACTTTATTAGTCTGAGTCTGCACCATCTATCTCTTGTTCCTTCTCATTCCTATTAAAATATCTTCCTAGCCTTTCTCCTTATCGCCCCGGTGGTGCCACCCTGTCCTTGGTTTCCTTGGTTTCATTGTGTCACATTGTCAGTACACCATCCCACGCAGCAGCCTAACAGTTTGCTCATTATAACCTTGGTTACACAAAACAAGCAGTCGCAGAAGATCAGATTTGCATAAATTATTAAACAGTCCATCACCTGTAACCAAAAGGTTGACGGAACCAAGTCCCAAGACTGATTCTATAGTTTAACCATTAAACAAGCATCTTAACTTGAATTGCTTTCAGGAATTATGCCTTTGAGTATAAATCAACAAATTATAAATGTTGTTGATCATTTTAACTCAGAAGAAGCCAAATGATTTACATAGCTGTATTTCCATACTAATGTGGCCTTACCCAATGAGAGGCTAGAACATTCTTATTCTGTATAACAGCTCTCTCACAGAAAAAGGGAAACTTGCACTTTTTTCTGCACATTATGGTATACTCTGTAATCTATTTTTACAGTGTACATTTAATATAACTGGAATTATAGCCACTCTAAGCTCTGTGCATACAGAACATGCATTGTCTCCCAATTTTTGGGTGGTTTTCCTCCTACATTCCAAAAACACAATTATGCAAATTGTAATTTCTAAATTGCCATTGCGGGGTCTGGGTGTGTGAGTGTGTGCCCTGCGATGGACTGGCATCCTATCGGCTGGTTTGTGCCCTGGGCATCCTGGGATACGTTCCATGCTTTCTGTGACCCTGTACTGTATAAGTGGTTTTAGAAGATGGATGGATGGATGGATGGATGGATGGACAGCATTATATTATTATATGTTTATTTAAAACACTTGTTTTTCCATTGTAAATGGCATTTCTATTCTTTCTCATTACAAACTAAGGTTAATCTGCTATTGAACTGCTGAAGTTCACAGAGCACTTGAAAGCTATGACCTTTGCTGTTTGAAAGTGACCTTCATGCTGGCTCCCACCCCGGTGTGAGCTGGGGTCAAGCAGCTGTTTGATAAATAACTTATATGTGGCCCTATGAAAAGCAGGCTGTATTTCTGGCAGCGACTTTTATATCGCTTGGAACCTTTGAAAAAGCAGCTGGGAAAAAACACCACTTTGAACAAGTGTCAGATGCTGAGGCTCGACTTTGAGATGCATGACCATGGTGTTACTGGTCTGTGGATTGTTTGTCATATTGCATTTGCCACAGCAACTGGCCACTGTAAAAACAGTGCTCTTTTATGACATTGTTTATTGTCAGTCTTTTGTCATTTTTTTCGTTATTTATTTTAGGGTGAAGGATAAGCAGCTTGGAAAATGGATGGATGGATGGATGGATTTTAGGGTCATGACTACTGCAGTTGTAACTGATTGTAATTCAGGGGTCTCTAACTCCGGTCCTGGAGAGCTACTGTCCAGTAGGTTTTTCTGTCCTATCTTGCTTCTGATGAGCCACACCTGTTCCTGGTATTTATGTCAGAACAGGTGTGCCTCATCAGATGCACACCAGTCCAGTAGGATAGAAAACCTACTGGACTGTAGCTTTACTGGACTGGAGTTGGAGAGCCCTGCATTAATGAGAGGAGCACAAGGCTCATTCGGAGCCTAAAGCAAGCACAGGGTGAAAGTTAAGCTCCCTGCCATGCAGAACGGGACTCGTTTCACTGAAAGCTGAGCCTCCGCTGCCTTGGGCTGGAGAGCAGAGTCCGTTAATCATCACCCATCGTACCTGGGTCCTCAGCTGCTGCCTGGGCTCTATTTCCACTCCTGTACCAGACTGCTGGCTGGGAGGGAGACATTATAGCACTGAGGCCAGTGACTCCTGGCTCCCTGATGTCGTGACTGTCCCTCCAAAGCCTCTGCTTGACCTGCCTGCTTACTGTAACGACAGTGTCTGGGATTCTGAGGCGTCCCTGTACTGCAGCCCTTTTGGCGTTACCTGTGGGCTTGTCCTGCGTCTTCCTGTTTATCCGACCGCACGTTTCTGTGTCTGGGTGCTTATGTACCTTCAGTACTTATCTGAACGCAGTACAGAATTTCCATAACTTCACCCTGAAAAAGCAACCAGATGGCGTCTGCTGGCAGCAAGGAGACAAATCGGGCCTTTTTTTAAAATGACCAATTTAAGTTTCTGTAAAAAAAAATCTGATGCCACAGTTACACAAATCCTAAATATATAAATGTGTGTGTGTTTGTATATATAATACATACAGTACTTACCTGTCCTATTTTTATTTGTGAGAGACTATTTATAATCACTTGTCCTTTTTTGCCTGTTCTTTTTAAATAGCATAAGTCTATAATTACATGAATTTTTCTCACTATTGCTCTACATGGAATAAGTTTGTAGAAATGTAGCCAAGTTCGACAAACAGCAAAGGTAATGATGGCCAGTGATACTGAGGCGTCACTCAGCACTTATACCAACTCTGTAAAACATCAAGGATGTACTTAGGTCAGCGCTGGAATCTCATGTGCACACACACATATATACACACACGCATACACACACACACATGTGTATACACACACACACGCACATGTAGGGTAAACATATCCTTATGGGGACCGCTCATTCATTTCAATGGGAAAAAAGCTAACGCTAACTATGACAACCTTAACCCCTACCCTGCCCTAACCATAACCATAAGTAACCTAACAAAATACAAGAGTTTTTGCATTTTTAGTTTTTTCATAGCAGTCACCGATTTTTATAAAATAGAGTTTTCTCTTATGGGAACCAGGAAACCGGTCCCCATAAGGGAAAAAAAACGGATATTTATCACATTATGGGGACAGGTAAACCTGCTCGCATACACACACACACACACACACACACACACACAGAGCTGGAGATGACAGAAGAGGCAGTTCAGAGATTCTTCCTCCCAGATGCCCTGATGAGTGTTTAAAAGTGGCTCAGCTCAAATATTCGTTTCCTTGTAAAGGTCCCTTTTACCCTGCATTGGACAGCAGCTGCAGATGAGGCTCCAGAGAACCGTCTGGTCCCTTTAGGTTCTGGTCAGTGCCCTGTGCAAATTCCAGGACCATTGGCCAAATGGTGAGGGATCTATTAAAAAGTAAACTCTAGGCTTGGTTCCAAATTTAACGCAGCAGCTCGCCCAAACTGCGCCTGCTGTTGCCGTGAATCACCACCGTCATGTGTCGCTGTCTGCACCACTCAGTGTTGGTGAGAATGATGCCACTGTACTGCTCTTTTCAGCTGGGATCCATCATGTATGTAATTTGCTGGGAGCACGACGTCCAGTCTGCAGCAAAAGCCCCAGTCACATGCAGAGTAACATGCACGGCTTTCCAGAGCTTAGTGCTGTTTTAGTTTTAATCTGAAGGGTAGAAGGGATAAGGTAATGAGAGAAGAATTGCACTCATAAATGCGGTTCGTAGCTTTGCATCTCGGTAATCTCGTAAACAATAGACTTAAATGCTTTTATTGTCATTGTACATTTCCAGTACTATAAAATTTCCCATGCATCATCTGGAATAGTTACTACAAAAACAAATAAAAAGATTAAGAATTTTCAGAAGTAAAATTAAAATATGCTGTATAAAAAGTAGAATATGCTGTATAGAATATGCTATACAGAATAGTTAAAAAAGTAAATAAATAGAGTTTATGTATGTGGTACAATGGTTTGCACATAAACAAGCATTTTTGCACAAGATAGGTAGCAATGCACATTTCACGTCATGAAATGTTAGATATTATTGCACCTGACTGTTGGGGGTGTATGGGGGTTGAGGGGGTGGGTGTATAAAGTGTAAACAAGCAGACTTTTAAAACTATTTCAGACCTCAAACATAGCAATTAACAATAAAAATATTGTACTAAAGTGTAAAGCAGCCATGAATGTGAGATTCAAGGCCTTGTTCAGGGCACACAGCATCCACCCCCCCCATGAGACACAATGATCCTGCTTTGCTGAGCCTCCATGTTTCCACCCCCAGCCACTTCTCTGTGTGATTCTGCAGGTCAAACCATTAGACCTCCTGTGTGTGTGTGTGTGTGTGTGGGGGGGGGGGGGGGGGGGGGGGCTGTTGGTGACGAGAGGGAGTGGGCATCTGTTTAAGTAGACATTAAGAGCAATTCTCTAATAGGCTTGTTATCGTTTGCTCTCACAATTATAGACAATTATAGAAAGAGCATTTTAGTTTATGGTATTTTATCGGACAGTAGTCAGACATTTCGTCTTATTTTCCATTTGGGTTATTATTTTTTTTAATGATAAAATGCATAGAGTTTTCAAATATTTTATGAGATATTTTATATAACACAGTGCTGGGTTATTGGGTTTCTGTTACTTTACTAAAAATCTTGCTGATGACTTGAGCTGGTTTTATTTTGTTTTGAGTATTCATGGACATATTCCCAGTGATGTTGTCCAGTAATGTAATACGAGCATTATATGACCTCGAAGTTACAGCATATCTGTGATGGGTAGGCGGGAACCTGCTGACGTATTAAGTTGGTGTTTGTGTACCTGAGATCCCCGGTCAGGAAGGTAGGGTTCTCGTATGATTGTGGAAAGGGCTTATTCAACCAAACGACTTTTCCGATGCGGGAGTGTGGTGATGATCCGCGGAGAAAGTGGTAGGAAGATGACATAAAGCAAGACGGGACTTTTTCAACATCGAAAAGCAAACTATCAGAAAGACTGTATTTTTTCTGTACAAGTTCCTTCAGGCGTGTTCTGAGTGTGCGTGGGAATTTTCTCATGCAACGCTCCTGCAACGAAATAATGTACGGAGGAAAGAAAGGAGGCAGGGTTTGGAATGGCTCTTTGAATAGCAGCGCTGTCAGATTCTCGGGCAGACTGCAGATCAGGCTATACAGTATCTGCAGGTACGCTGACTCCACTCTGCTACTGAGCCGTGAATAAGTCGCGTCCGCTTTCCAGCGTTATTGGTGTACAGGCGGGCGTCACTGTAAGAACAAGTCACAGGTCAACGCCAGGAGTAAGAGGGATTTCCCGAGGGAGAGAGCGCGAGGCAGCGCGCGCCTCCCTAATCCCCTTCTCGAGCTAAGCATCACAGTCGGGATCTGGACTCGGCACGGGGAAAGCGGGGGGCTGCTGCTGCAATGTTCAAGTCCATATTTCGGCGTCTTTGGAGACTTGACTGCTAATACGGAACTATACAGTATAAAAGACAATCAATCGCGATGGTCCAGAACGTGATACTAGTGTTTTTCCGCAGGAGACTAAGCCAGCGCCCGGGTGTAGAGGAACTGGAAAGTCGAAATATTCTAAAGCGTAAGTACCTTTTTATGTCGTAATATTGTGTTCACCTGATTTAAAAAGAAAAGGCAGTGTCATTTACGACTGCATGTTGATCGTACGGATTCCGCTTTCTTTTCTCATTTATTGAAATATCGATGGTGCAATGAAACGATAGAAATGAAATCCAAAAATAAGACTCATCTGGTGGAGTTTTACTGAAGAATTGATTTTGCCTTCTATTTTATGAAGTAGTTAACAAAAATAATGAAGAAAATTCACATGATTGCATTTTTAAATACAATATGCATAGTAAATCGAAACGTAAATATGCATTTTTAAAAATATTGTTTTATTATACATATTTTACTAAACATATAATTGTATAAACATACATATAAAATGTACATTTTATATTATTTGCTGGCTTATGAGATTTAAAATGTGTCCATGTCATACCAAAATATTCTGTTAAGTTACGTATCTCAGAAAGATACAGTATAGAAAATCCCAAAGGAGATTTTGATAGGGACACTGACATACTTGTACTTTACACACTTATGGACCTCTGGGGATCTCTCAGTTACGTTTAATGTTAATCTAATTCCAGGGCTAGAGAAAAATGCATTTTGACATCTGATTGACTGGTAAATACGTTGGTCACCTGAAGTAATATCCCATATAAATAAGGGACGTGTTGCCTTCAGTGCGCTGAAATGCAGGGGCTCCCTGTGCTGAGAAGGTAAGAGGTGCCCCCCCCGTTTGCACAGCCGGCGTCCACATGTTTGTGTATGTGGCACCTGTGGGCCCCCGATCCCGCCAGCTGTTGCTCAGCATGACAGCCCACGCGGCCATCCTTCATGCAGTGCAGCATGGGCACACAGAGGGTACGGACCCACATTAAGGCTGCTCTGCATCGCTCCCAGCCGAAGCGAGAGTAAACACAACAAATGGCAAGAGAACAGACATCAGAGGATCAGCAGGCGATTAGAGAGTAGGAGGTGTTAGGCGTGCTAACAGAATAACCAAAGCTATTATTTACCTCCGAGAGGTCTAAATTAGAACTTTTTGGTCTGGCAAATAAATACACAATTCTACCTGGTGAAAGCTTCAGGCGGTAAATGGGACAGAGTGTGGTGGTCCTGTCCTGGAAAGTCCCCACGTTAAGGTCAGCAGAGCGAGGCTTATGATAATCCTACCCAGAAACGGTTCAACAACGGAAAAGAATTTTAAAAATCTCTGTTTTTAGGCAACATCAGCATCACATAAAACTTAATGACAGAAGATCCAATTAGGTCCAGTCTGTCTGTGATGTGCTTTGTGTCTGTTTGCAGTCAGTGCAGACACTCTCCTAGAGTATGTGGCGTATTCTGACATCTGGCATCAGCTAAACAACTGTGCTGGTTCTTCGTTTGGCGTGAATCTGATGTCAGAGGTCAACTCATTATACATTCCGTCCTAAATAGTGTTACTTAGATCTGAAACACATTTGTACAGTAATACAGATGAAGTAACAAGTGAAACAGGTTGCGTTCTTGCAGTGAATGGAACAGAAGATTTTAAGAAACTTGTAAGAGAAAGTTTCAGACCTTACATTGCTATTGTACCTGCATTACACATCATCTAAGTCCATGTTTGTCAACCTGGTCCCCAAGATGGTCCACATCTCTGCTCCCTCCCAGCTCCCTCCTTGCCGACTTGGGGTCCCCAAGGATCGGGTTAAGAAACTCTCATCTAAATCAGCTTCCAAAAGTTGGGAGTGTCACATCTTGTATTAAAGATTAGGCACCGCATCATATGTTTCTGAGCTGTGACTCTCACTGAGCTGACTCTTTCCGAGCTGTGACTCACACTGAGCTGTGACTCTCCTGCCTCTTGTCTCTTTCACTTTTACTGACATGGAGTTTTTTTTTTTCTTCTGGGTTACAGAAAGGAATGACCAAACAGAGCAGGAGGAGAGAAGGGAAATCAAACAGCGGCTTAACAGAAAGGTATGTCAGCTCAAACATTGCCCACCATCCCCCCCGCACACATGCGTCAGTGTGAGCCACATTTGGGGTCCCAGAAAAAAAACACGGCACTGTTTTTTGTTTTTCCTGGAATACCGACGCAGCATATTCAGTGCTGTTGCCATTAAACCAGCATGATGTCACGTCCACACAGGGCTGTGGTGGGAAAGGAGGGATGTAACGAAAGTATCCTGATGCAGTTATGAAGGGCACTTATAGGATGCTGAGTAATGACGATGAGCTTTTCATCTCATGCCACCATGAGATAATCGCTTAAGGTCAGACTTTTGTTTGAGGTGAATCCATGCCTGTGACAAATCAATTGTACTGGTGTTATGTTACATTCAGATATTATACATGTATGACAGGCATCCATCTGCACAAATTTAACACGTTTAATAGAACTGTTATTTCATGATAGAACATGCAGTGTGACCTGGATGGCACTGCGCAGAAGTTAGAGCAGCTAAGATCTGAAGTATTGGCAGCAGGTCTTCAAGCTCCCCTTGTTGTCTTGATGCCGCTTACTTTCGTTGGCCCCCCGGCCCTGATAGAACCCCGGTTCTGTGTGAAGGCTGGTACCTTCCCAGTGGGGGGGCACTGCAAGCTGGCTGCGTGCGTGATAAGCTTTCAGTGCTGTCACTGTAGCCAAGTATAACTTATAAACATCCTTAGTTCCCATTGTGTAGTACAAGTCAGGCAGGATACACCTACCTTTTCAAATGTGAAAGACGGGGGGGCGTGGCAAGACGCAGGACGCAACCTTGCCTGGTGATGTCACTGTGACTAAAAGGCGTTATTTAAAAAAAATCTGCATTTCAGCCTATTACCGGATGCTCTGCTGCATCATTTGCGAGGCTGCCCTTCTCCATTGCCTGCTGGCATTTTGTGGCCAGTCGCAGGGTCCTTCATCCTCCCCCTTCCCTGTTTACTGCAGCTCAACCAGAGACCCACAGTCGACGAGCTCCGGGATAGAAAGATCCTCATCCGCTTCAGCGACTATGTTGAGGTGGCCAAAGCTCAGGATTACGACCGCCGTGCGGACAAGCCCTGGACCAGGCTGTCTGCTGCCGACAAGGTGATACATCGCAGCCAAGTTCCCTCCATCATTATCGACCTCCACTCGCACCCGCATCCCAGTCTTGACTTCCCACAGCCTTCAGTTTCCTGGGTCATCTCTTAGAATTCTTGTTTAATTTTCTCCAGTCATGTTTAGGATGCCGATGCGTGGAGGGAGCTGCATTATGGAAGCAATGTTTTCACATCATGAAAACCCACATTTATTTACTTAGCAGATGGTTTTGTCCAAAGTAAGGTAAATCATACAGCTAGGATAAACGTCCGATGAGGAACCAATAAGAAGTTGAAGGTCATCGCATAGATGCATTAGCAAGAAGCTAAAAAATAAAAATAAATAAAGATGGCCATGATGTCATTTTAGTGAGGGAATCCCTTGCCAGAATACCTCGCCTGAACACCATCCCAGCAGCGTGTCCAGCTTTCGGGGTGACAGCTGAACACCTTAACGAGCACCGCTTTCCTGTGTCTTCCACAGGCAGCGATACGGAAGGAGCTGAATGAATTCAAAAGCAACGAGATGGAGGTCCACGCGTCGAGTAAGCACCTGACAAGGTCAGTCTGATGCGTCCAGGTGATTTCACATTCCAGTCCAGCCGAAATCAAGGTGAAAGTGTATTTGAACGTATTTGGCAAGAAGAACAATCAAGATACAGTGCTGGACCAAAATAGCAAGGATCCTGTTCCCCAGAGGTCCCAAATCTGCACACGGCCGAAACTTTGACAATGGAAACGAATGGCCGCACAGAATTAGCCTATGTTTTGCTTACATTGCTAACCATTTTCGTTGACCGCAATAGCTCTGCAGGAACAGAATCCTGAGAGTTAGCCCCTGATTGATGAAGTCCTTTGAAAACAAACAGGCTGTGATGTAATCCGTGGCCCTGCCTCGCCCAGTCAATCACAGGTGTTCCCCTCCCTCGCTCCCCTGTTGCAGGTTCCACAGGCCATAACGGCGTCTCTTCCGTGAAGAGTGGCTTGATCCTGTTCTGCCAGCGAAGGCCTTCAGAGGATTCTTCAGAGTGGCCTGCCCTGCTCCGCCAAATATTTGGGTGCAGTAAACCCTGGAGGCTGTGTCTCCATAGGGGGCGCCACTTGAGAGGGCGTAATACACTAGGAGCTCCACACCTGCTCAGACAGAGGTCTCCTGAATTTTGCAGAGGAACAGAGTACAGCTCAGACCTTTGTTCGCTCTGTTTGCTCTTTGTCTCCAAGGCCATTTTTTTGTACGGACTCTCAAAAGAATAAATGAGGGAGGTGGGGAGGGGGAGGGGGTGGGTTTAGGGGGTGGGGTAAATGCATGTGACCTGCTAAACTTTTCCAACCATAAATGTTAGTCGTAGCTCCGGCGTTGTGAGCTCTCGCTTGTCTTGAGCTGATTTCATATCCCTGTACAAATGTCGGTCTTAACAGGAATCCATGTCTTAACACGAGAGAGGTCCCTTTGTAAGCAGTATTTATTGTCTGCTCAATACAAGTTTTGAATTTTTTAAGAAACCCAGAATTGCGTCTGTTTTGTGAAGGGGGTGGGGTCTGGGGGTGGGGGGGTGTTCAGTGTTGCAGCTATATCGTCCCGACCGATAAAACGCTGATGGCAGGCAGCCTGGGACTGCACTGTCATTATTTGCTGTGAATGTTAAGGTGACACAGGAAGGACAATAAGTAAAGGTGTTTACATGGAATGGTCACCAGAGCCTGATGATGTTACAGTTCTGTGACATTTGTTTGGCATTTGGTAAAGAGTCTTTGTAAAGTGCAGCAGTATGTGTAAGGCTACTGCCAGCCAACGAAGGATGCACACAAGGAAATGACTAGAACATCTAGGTGTTAGGGACCTTCAGACCTGAGGAAGAAGCATCCGTCTGGCCAGAATGTCCTCCTGTCTGCAGCCTATAGCTTCAGTCACGCACCCTTCCGTGGAGCAGGTCGCCCGGTCCGGTGCTTGACGGCACCTGGGTTACGGAAGCGGCATGTCCCATCCGCTGCCAAGCCTCTCGGTCTCCTTAAGCCGTCTGTGGGAGTCGTCAGAGAAAAAGAGATTATTCCCTGGACCCATTGGGCCTTCAGAGAAAAGCCTTCAAGCTGAGATTAGCAGCCCCTTGCTCATAGTCTGGTGGGGGTGTTGGATGATTTTTGGGACAAACCCAAGAATGCCTGCCGTTGGGGATAAATGCACCTTGTGAAGCCTTGTTTGTGCCCTTGATTTTGACAGCTTAGATATATAACATTAGAATGCATTAAACACTGTTTTATAAACCAACATATAAAAACATCCTAAAGATAAACAAGACAAAAATATGAATCCAGTTCATTCTGGAAGTTAAAATTGGAATCAAGAAAAATTCTAAATGAGGAATGTGGTTAAGATGAATATGATGCAAAGGTGATAGTTAAAAATATAGATCATGTGACCTCTAAAAATAGATTAGACTGTTGCTAATAATGAAATGAAAATTATGTTTTATTTGCCATTTGTACAGGTATGAGAACAGGTACATTAGAATGCTTCTTTTTGCACGTCCCATCTTGCTCTCCTTTGAGCCGCACGCACGCACACACACACACACACAGGTGAGAGCAAAGCTTGGACTCTGAGTGCAGGCTCAGCTGCTGTGTTGAGCCCCTGGAGTATTTGGGGTTAAGGGTCTTGCTTAGGGGCCAAACAACAGCACCAGCCTGCCAGTCTCAGGATTTGAACCGGTGGCTATCCGATCTTGGAGTCCTAATCTGCTGAACCACCGCCCCCAAAGGTTACCTAGAAGACAGAATCTCCCAATACAATGAGAATCACATTACTTCAGGTAAAGCAGTACTCGTTGACATGACTTGAATGATGGGTAGTCAGAACCAATAGCAGCTGGGACAGATGGAACAGGCCAGACCTGTAATGCGAACTGTAACAGCGTGATTCTGGATGGAGTTACACTTCATTAGGTATGCAGACAGAGTATCACATAGGAGCCCTTCATGTCTTCAGAACCATTTTAAGGGTAGACAAGTTCAAAGATGCCTTTTTGTACACCCCAGTTGCACTGAGTTGTTGCCTTTGCTGCTAATTTTAATAAATCTAGCCAGTCTCCTCTGACCTCTCTCATTAACAAGGTATTTTTGGCTTTGTCACTGACTGGATGTTTTGCGTTTTGTAATTTCTAGATGCTATATTGTGTGAAAATCCCAGGAGTGTGGCTGGTTCTTAGGTGTTGGAATCACGTCTGGCACCCACAATCACACCACATTAAGATTGTGCATCTTCGATGTTTTAACACTTAGCAGTGCAGTGACTGAACCTCTTGACCCTGTCTATATGCTGTATGTATTTAGTTATACAGTGGTACCTCAGTTCTCTAACTCATTAAACCTCGAATTTCTTAAAAGTCGAACCAACCAGTTTGGAAAAAAATTACCTAATACTCGATCTGAATCTCAGAAGTCAAACCGTGAACTCCGACCTAAGATAACTTGTACGCGCAGGGAAATGAGTCACGCGGCAGGTCTCTCAGCAGAAAAAAAAGGGTAAAGCTTCAGTCTCAGCCTCACATTCGCTGTGATAGCATCGTGCATGTTTACACAAGCTGAATACATATATTTAGACAGTAAAAATACATTTAGACAATGATAGACAGTAACAGTAATTATTATATAATAAAATACATTTTAAAACAAAGATTTCTTATTAATTATTTTAATATTAATAATAAACCATTAATACATTTAATTACAATAATATTGTCCTGCCGAGCGGGGACGGAACAGAGACAAAGGCGCAGACGTCAGGGTATCAGGGTATCGGGGAATACGGGGTTTAATTACAGGTAAGGCAGGCAAAACGCAGATGGACAATACAATGACTGGACTGGGGAAACAAACTGAAATGCGGACTAAATACAGAGGACTAATGAAAACAACCAGAAACAGCTGATCACACGGGGATTCCACACGGGGTTAACGAGGGGGCGTGGCACACGGAAGGAGCGGACGATCGGGGCAAGACACATTGTTTTTTTTAACTTTACACATTGTTTGGATACATTTATTTTCCTACTTTACAAATAACTGTTTTGATAAGCAAGATGTGTTTAGTACAGTATATGCTCTTCTTGTTTTGATTGGATGGGGGGGTGGGTGGGGGCAATCCGGGGAATATATTGTTGTTATTCCAACAGCATCTAGTCTATAAAATATTCCATGCTTAAAATCTGGGCACTTCTTTTAATATAATAATTTCTTTCCATATGTTTCCATATGTTCAATATTTAACCTGTTCTGTACTATATTGCAGAGAAAAGGTCACTGATCTGATAAATTCCATTGATCTTTACAAGGTTGGTGGGTGGGGGAGGGTTCAAGGGAGGGGAACAACCAATCATACACTTTGGGCAACTTGGACACACCATTTCACTAACCTGCAAGCCTATGGACTATGGGATGAATCCAGAACTGGAAGGAGGAAGGAAACCTGTGCAGCAACAGAAAAATGTGCAAACTCCACATACACATAGGATTGGGGGATGGGATTCAAATCTCCAAACCTGGAGGCGTGAGGCCACTGTGGCTTCTCAAAAAAAATTTCACATCTGAAAAACATGCAACACTTCCCTCTAGTGCTGTGACGTGGCACTGCAGGAAACGATCAGTGTTAAAATCTGCGTGACAACCTACACTCTTTTGAAATGTTTCATACATCCATCTATCCATCCATCTTTTAACCACGTATCTTGTTCAAAGTTGCAGCCAGCACAGAGAATAAGGCTGGGGTATACCCTGGACATTGATACTCTGTGGGGTATTTAGAGACACCAATTAGCCCAGCAGCATGTCTTTGGATTGTGCAGGCAAACCCATGTGACATGAGGTGAACTAATCAGCAGATACAGAGCAGAGGCAGGAATTGTTCCCATCCCAACCCTGGAGGAATGATGCTGTGCCACTCAAATGTTTTTTCCATCTTACATCATATAATTTTTGTAAACCCATTACATTCTACACAAAATAATATAAGGAGTTCAATACCAGTGATCTTAAAAAATGATCAAAAACTTGGATTCTGAAAAATAGCTATTATTTGCCATGATTAAAGCTTCATAAACATGAGTCATTGCTTTGGCTTCACTATGCAGCATAGGCAGATTTGTTTTGCACAATTTCTGGTGTGTTTTGTACGATTCTCTTGCTGAAGAACGATGGACAGTCCAATCAGCCACAATCCTGATGGAACTGTCATGACCTGCTCGTATGATCCTTCCGTGTGCCACGCCCCCCTCGTTACCTCATGCGAAATCCTGATTGTTCTCAGCTGTTCTGCATTTCCTTAGTCTTGTGTATCTAAGTCCACGTCAGAGTTTGTATCCCCAGATCCGTCATTAACGTTGTGTCGTTATGGTGATTTTGTCCCGTATGCCTCTCCATCTCCCCATTAAATCCCTTTTTGCCCCAGTTTTTTTGTCTTTTGCCTGCTTCCCCGCTACATAACAGAAACGGCATATCTTTGAAGTTATCCTATAATCACCATGCTGGCAAAGCAACCAAATTCTCTAACTCTGCCTTCTTGAGTCCTGATACTGGGAGTCATATTTGCCCTTGAGCCAATCCTCTGTACATCCATGGCAGTTCGGCCCAAATATTTCAAATGACATTCATCTGACTCATTTTGATTCACTTCCGCTCCTCCGGTTTGATACAGTTTAAAGCATAGATCACAAAAATGAATGTGACTTTGTTCAGACCTTTGACTGGGAGTTTATGCTTTATCATCCTGGAGCATGTATGTGCATTGTTACAGGATTTTTGTTCACTATGACTATTAATGAACCATGGTCATCACCAGAAGAAGAGGACAGACGGCCTGAAGCATGGAATGTCCAATCAGGAGACTTTCTGGTGCCCCCCACCAGGGCCAATCTAGGCGTGTGACATTCCTGGGCTGAAACCCAGCCCCACTTCAGCCCTGGTCTAAAAATTATAGGGTGAAAAAACATTTTGAAAGTGATTTTTCATTTATTTTTTCATCTATCCATTTTCTATAACCACTGTGATGCAGAATTAAAGCAAATCTGATTCCATCCCAGAGCACTCATTCCTCTACCACGGCCGATTTAATGAAAACATAAACTCCATACAAAGAAGCAGAGGCAGGAATCAAACCCACAACCCTGGAGCTGTAAGCTGTAGTGCTAATTGCATGCCATGCAGTTATTATAAAATGATTAACAAAAAACAGCTTGTGGGGTCTAGTTTCTATGCTGCAGTGCTTTTTTTGTACTGGGCCAGGTGTTTGTGGAAGGTGCATCTATGACTGAAGCAGCCAAAGCAGAACCTACTTTTCCTAAGATGTTATGTGTGACACGCTGCCAAGAAAACCAGCTGCAGAAACTAGATGTGAGTTGTGACCTTCAAGAAATTCACAGTGGGCAATCTCTGGGCCTCTGGGCTCTATGCTTAAGGGCTGAAGTGCAAAGAGTGGAGGTTCCAACAGCATCAATGCTAACAGGACCATGCAACAATAAGTCTATGGACTTACGTGAAAGTAAACTAGGGTGACCAGATAATCCATGTCAGGGAGGACACTTTGAGCTACTTCGGGTTTTACAAACTACTTCCAAATTAAAAGGCTCCTGTGCTCGGCTAAAGAGTTCAGCTCTTCTTGTGCTTTGACTGGTTTGTTTCCTTGAGTGAAAGACTCATCCAGCTGTTTCACATTAGCATTAGTGACACATGCATGACCAATCAACACACAGCAAGAACTCGGTGCTCAAGTGAAATCCAAGTCCGTTTAATTGAAATGGTAATTTACAATTCCTGTCCTAGCTCAGAGTGTCCTCCCTGACATGGATTATCTGGTCACCCTAAAGTAAACATTCTTTCTTTACATTTACTTGTTAGATGCTTTTGTCTAAAGCAACAAGCAAGTGAGGCTCAGAGACCAGGGTTAATCAGCAATTTGGGGTAAGGGCATTACGTCAGGTTTTTAATTATGGAGACAGATCTATGTGTATGAGGTAAAAATGAACTGCAAATCCGAAATCATATTTGTGCATCTGTAAGTTGACCTGCAGGCAAAAATTTGCAAGTACATTTCTACTATGAAATTTATGACAAGATTAACACATTCAATTCACACTGCACATGTCGCACTCTAGGCTTACAAATTCTCATTTTACCAGAGTAGTTTAGACAGTTTGTGCAAATGTGCAATCCATTCATAGGCGTAGGTAGATACATTTACATCTAAAGTTATTGTACTTAAATGTCCCAACGGTTGCGATGATGAATCACAGTTTATGCAGTTGCAACTTCAGTACTTCGTTGACGAATCACTAATAATGTTCCCAATGGTCGAAGGGTTTTGACCAAACACCGGATTTGTAATTCATGTTTACGTACAATTACTTTAGACGTAAATCATCTTCCGCTTTCAGACCAGCCCCCTCAGCTCTCCGGAGCTCTCCAATTGGCTTGTCAGAACTTGATGACAGAGATTTTTTGTCAAAGGTAATAAATTAGGATTCGTAAATATAAAATGACGATTGTACTTCAGAAACACGAAATAGGCACAGGCACACAGTTGCAGCTCTGAATATGGATTTGCGTTTCATACAATTACGACAAGATCGTGACATTTAAGTATGATTACTTTAGACATAAATCTATCTCCATACTTTGCAAAGATATTGCTGTAGCAGACATGGGATTTGAACCCAACCTTTCAGACATGGGCACACATTGTTTGCTATGTACCACCCCAGCAGTCCCTGTAATCATATACACGTTAACGCTGTTAGAGCAAGTCATTTGACAGTGTTGTGTTCTTCAAATATTTATTAGTCCATCAGTATCCCGAGAAAAAAAAACTATAAATCACTGCAGTGAACATAACCCTGCTTAAGGTTGATTAAAAGAAAGTGGCTCTGCTGTGTATCGTCCACCAGGGCACGGATAAAAAGGATTAATAAAAGCAATAAAATGTTTTACAACAAAGTACGACACCCATCTCACATGGGACAGGTGCAAGAAAGAGCTCTGTTGGCACTGTTTAATGGAGTTGGTGGTCTTTTACAAGAGATCCACTAAAACAAATACGCTAAAACATGGGTCTCCAACTCCGGTCCTGGAGAGCTACTATCCAGTAGGTTTTCTGTCCCACTTGGCTTCTGATGAGCCACACCTGGCCCTGGTATTTACCTGAGAACAGGTGTGGCTCATCAGGAGTCGGGTAGGATAGAAAACCTACTGGATAGTAGCTCTCCAGGACCGGAGTTGGAGACCCCTGCGCTAAAATGATGCGCTACAGTTTAAATGTTTCCCGTGACCCGAGGCAGACGTTTCTGGGACTGCAAACCACACAGACTTACTCATCTTCCCATAAAAGCACATGGTACCAGTTCCACCAGTGACTCTCCAGCCCATTCCCACCTGTTTCTGAAAATGTGATAAGTTGATGGGGTTTGTTTTTCAAATAATGCGACAGTATGGTGGTGGTTTACACTTATAGTATTCATTTTGACACCAACCTGCTAGTCCAAAATTTTCATGGCAATTGAATGGCACAATAAGCAAACAATGTCTTTTAGTAATTCCGATATTTTTCTCAATATTTCACTGAACTTAAATGTCATTCAAATCACTCAGACATACACTACTTGGTGCTTATAAAACACAGTAAGTTGATGAACTTAAATGGATAAAATCTAAAAGTGCTAAGATTAAATTCAGAGCAGAATGTGGTCCTGTTACAAATGCAGTAATTGATAAAAAGAACATCTCTCACGTGACATTTCAAATCTTTTCAGTGAAGCATAAATTATGCTACCATATTCTGTTTTCAAAGGCACTTATGTATAAAATGCTATTTAAAAAGCATTTAAAACTGTCAGACACAATTTAAAAATGAAGTCCTTGAATGAAAAACGAAAAAGAACACATAAGAATGTATGAATGGATCACTTTGAGTCAAATACTATCCCTGAACATTTCAGTTGCAAGCCAGTCTTTTACTGTAATTTTGAAGACTTATCCTATATCATTTTACAGCAATACTTACAAGCAGAGCACCTTTGAACTTTTAGTAACAAACAACAACCTGAGCCATTTAATATCAGTGGTTTCACACTATCACGTGAAATTTGGCACAAAGTGAATCAGATGAGTAAAAAAAGTGCAATATAGTTTTTCTGATGGAGATCGCTGCTGAGACCTAAGTGAACATGAGAAACTAAGATGACTGTAAATAAATGCTTGATTATAGAAGAAACACATGCTAGAGGAGTTTTCCTCCACCAGAATCTTCTAAATAAAGTGTACCATGCTTTCCTCACACTCTCGGGGAACTATTAGCTTATAGCTGTGGCAAGTAAGTTTGTAATTGACTCCGTTGTTGTTGTCCCAGTACTCAGCTCCCACGGCCCGGAAGCAGATGGCGAACTCCAGAACTGCCTCGGGCTGCAGGATAAACGGCGGGACGGGCAGTCGAAAGCGGAAGATGTCTGACTCGGGCTCGTTTCTGGCACTATCTCTGTGTATGGAAGTTACCCAGGAGGCCTTGCTGATTGCACTGCTCTTCCAGTTGGTGAAGGAGTAGACTGCAGTGACCTCTTTCTCAAATGCCAAGTTAAGGACTTGCACTGTGGCAATGATACCCATCTCAGAGCAAAGGACCTCATCCAGACAAACATGCTGCTGGCAGAGGCGATGGAGGAAATCTGGTTGATCTGCCATACGTTCTGGAAAAGATGGCTTAAAGTAGGGTAAGGATATTTCCAAGTGCTTGCCTGATGCCATCTCAGCACTCATCAGAAGCCGTGAGATGACATGCTGAGGTACCAAGGGGTCTTCCCCAGCTTTGAAAACCTTGATGTCCTCCAGGTCCAACCCCAAGGAGTCGACAAAGCGAACATGCTGCCTCCTGCGCTCAATCTTCCATCCACCGGAAGCCGGCAGAGATCGTGCCCGTCTCCTTATAATGGGCTTGGGTGTAGGCTCACAGGAGAGACTCTGACCAAAAACAGGCTCCCTGGTCAAGAGGGTGCTCAGAGGGGGAGGCCGGATCCTGACCGGCATTCTTTCGGGCTCGACCTTCAACCTCAGGATGTCCTTCACCTGAATTTTGATGGGGGACCTGGTGACACTGCTGAGGTCAGAAGCATAAGCCAGACTAATTCCAGCATTTTCAGGAAGGTGATTTTCCTGCCACCAACTATTTTTCCTCTCCATGTCCGAGACACAGGGACCGAAGCACCTTGGAATGGATAAAACATGAAAATACTTAGACTCTACAAAACTTTATGAAAACTGTTTATTCAGTAAAATGCACTTTTGTACTTTTTTCCTTCTAGTTGAATCTGCTGAGTTCAGTTATTGTTTACAAGAAAAAGGAAAGACACTACGGAATTACATTATATAGATATTATAGGTATTACTGTATATAGATATTACACCTATAGCTATTTCCCTGTTACACATCACTTTACGATTAACAGTAATACATTTTGCACAGTATTTTGTTATTATACAGTGTTTAATATTAAGTTTAGAATTCAATCAGTAACCACATTTTAACGTGCAAATAGTACATACAAGAGGTATACAGTTTGTTTCTATACCGCAATTGACTCTCCAAGTACTTGCAGAAATCAGGTAGGCTACAGCAGGACTTCTCTCGGTGTGCGACTCCTTCGTGAACTAGGTCTTGTGTTTTAATCATAGCCTTCGCTTAAGTATCTTTAAATCACAGGACGAGCAATCGCGCACGTACGAGATTCCAGGGCTGGATCATGTCCGTGAAGCTGAATCGATCAATGATCTATGTGCGGATGTAATTTGCAAACGCTCAACTGAGTGGCTCAAGTCAATGCCAATTTCTGAACAACATACCGTTAATTGTTCACTTATAAAGCAACTAAATCCAAACTATTTAGATAAAAAAGCGTTATAGTTGTTGGTGTCTTCTATTTGACATTTGGCATTGGACAAGCATTCTAGGGGGTGTGTCATAATCCATACTCGCGCAACCCTTGACATTTAAGGACATACCTTCATGGGAAATGTAGTATCACATCCGCGGAGCAAAACCAGAAAGGCAACGCTAAGGTATTGTCTCGACGGATTTTCAGGACGCATTTGAGTCGAGTGAAGATTTATCTTCAGAAATTTTTAAATATTACCTATTCTTTTTAGCCATTTATTATGAATATCCGAAGCTTATATTTAACTGCGCAATTGTTTTGTTTTGTGATATACTACATTTCCCGGCAGACATTGCGCTATCAAGCCCTATTTTCTAATGGCATAGCATCCGCGAAACACTAGATGGGGAAATAACACAGGTGTAAACTGAAGTTAAAGAAATTTGTGATGATGCGTATATAAGGTACGAAAGATAGTAAATGTATTTAGCGCTCAAATAAAATAATGTATATTAAACATAGATAATATATGATTGAGATTAAGCATTATGTCTTGTAGTAAGACAATAAAATATGTCTAGCCCAGATGTTCATTATTGATTGGGCAAAATAAAATTTGAAAGGTTTATGTGGAACGGAAATGCAGAGTAAACTGGCAAAGTCTGCGTTAATCAGTCGTATAACGTAAGGCACTACGTAATGCTCTCCCTTCAAATGATATCTATATCTAGATAAATAGCTATTTTACGTCAAATTGTTCGCATAAACGAAACATTAATCGTTAGTTGATTTGACGTAAAATGTAATTCGTGAAGGCAGTGGAGACATGCATCATCAACGACCGTAACCACCAGGTTTGCCTTGGTAGCGAAGTACCGAAATAACACGGAGCGCAATGGGACCCATCCTGCAGGAGCGAGCAGCGACCATTAACAACAAGGTGTCATCCAAAGACAGAGCATGGACGAAAGTGACGGGAAACAACGGGTCAGCCACCAGGTAAAAATAATATTGATAGAATTAGAGTGAATTTACTTTGAACAGCTGGTTACACCGTGGTGATGGCATAAAATATTAATGTTTTATTATAATCATTGTGAGAGCTTAATTTTATTTTTACAATTCATATACATTTGTATGCATGCAATTCCAAAAAAAGAATCAGTGTTATAATTACAGGCTTAGGTCATTCAAAGTTAGTCTAGGTTAACAAATTAAGTAATGTGAATTGCCCTGGTGTTTATTTAGAAACTATCTATCATATTCGATTTGGAGCTGCCAAATAGCCCGTAGGTGTGAAGGTGTGTGTGAATGGTGTCTGTGCCCTCAGTTGGGTCGGCGCCCCGTCTCATTCCCGGCATTGTGCCCATTGTTTGTGTCCCGTGACCCTGCATAGGACAAGCGAGAATGAACTGAGGATAAAAAACATAAGAAATTTACAAACGAGAGGAGGCCATTCGGCCCATCAAGCTCGTTTGGGGAGAACTTAATCAATAGCTCAGAGTTGTTAAAATCTTATCTAGCTCTGATTTAAAGGAACCCTGGGTTTTAGCTTGCGCTACACTAGCAGGAAGACTATTCCATACTCTACACGCTGTGTTAAGTGTAACTCAAATTGAGTTTAAAATGTTCTCCCACTAATTTCCAATGGATGAATGGAATGGATGGATGGTAGATATGCTACACATTGATCTTGCTCTGATCTTGCATGTTTCATTTTCTTGCTGTCTTTTTTTTTTTTTTATCTGTCCACAGTAACAAAAAAGGGAAAGTGAATCAAAATCACAGGCTCCGAAAAGCATTCGGTGCGCAGAGTGTCTCAGCAGCACCGGTCCACGATTCCACTCCGGCAGCTGCAAAAGTAAATGAAGACAAGGAAAGACTTGGTGTCCTGCCACTGGATCTGAACTTTCTCTGCCTCACAGAGAATTTTGTTACAGCTGGTTTCAATTTCTGTTAATCAAAACTAAATTGTATTATATGGATATGTGGGGAAATGATTAGAATGTGAACTTTTGGCGAGATTGGATACAGTGTGTAATAGCTGGCCTGAGTAACCTTTCCTTTCTTTGATGATAGAGCAAAGGGACCAGAGTCAAAGCAGAGAGACCCAGGGTGTCAGATGCAAGGATTAATCCGCATGGGTGAGTGATACCTGGAGCTCCTCTGTTGTTATTCTACTCTAACCCATCTATTCTAGTTGAACTGATCCCTATGATCTGCTTTCACACTAGTGGGAGTTTTACTTACACAAAAATGTTCTGAGGGCAGAATGAAAATGATTAGTTCAGAGAGATAACCAATCAGATTGTAGTGGAGGTGGGTCCAAGCAAGTAAAGGAAGCGGCACCAACCAATCAGATGTCTTGGACCCAGCTCCTCTACAATCTGATTGGTTCAGAGAGATAACCAATCATTTTCATTCTGCCCTAAGAACATTTTTATCTAAGTAAAACTCCCACTAGTGTGAAAGCAGATCATAGGGATCAGTCCAACAAGAATAGATGGGTTAGAGTAAGTAAAACTCACACGAGCCTGCTTTCACAGGACTCCCTGGGGTCAGGAGGCTTCTCAGGTTGAGGGAGCGGGGGAACGAACAGGCAGTATGAGCCAGACGGGCCCGAGCAGGAAGGGCCTGTCGCTCCCTCTGCCCCCTCGTTCTGACATGCACCAGGCACTGCTGGCCCTGGAACCTCTGCGACTGCGCGAGCAGGAGGAGGCGGACGCAGACAGTGCCAGTGACCTGTCTGACTCCGAGCGGCTCCCCGTGCCCCCCTCACCCTGCACGCCTCCGCAGCTTAACCTCAGGGCCGAGGTGATCAGCGCCAGCGACCTCCAGCCACATTTCCCGGGGCCTCGTGGCCTGAGCTATGGCAGCCACAGCTATCCTGACTTTCTGCCTCCCCCATTCAACACCTGGAGCCTTCAGCAACTGGCTGTCTTTCTTAACACCGAGGGGAGGAGCGCTCCTCGTCCCCGGCCAGTAGGTCACTTGGAGAAGTACTTGGAGCGTCTCTTGCAACTGGAATGGCTTCAGATCCAGACGATCCAGGAGGAGAATGGCAAGCCCGCCGCTCCCGTGTCTGTTAGCCGCCCCCACCCCCGTCCCCATACAGCCCCAGCCACCAGCCTCAGCTCCCCCAAGTCTCTCCGCCAGTGCCAGCGTGCCTTCCCTCTCGCCTTCCTGTCATCCCTAGCTGAGTCCTCCTCCGGGTTACTCTCGGGTCGTGTCTGCCCTCACTGCCGCATCCGCTACCCCTTCTGCAACGGGACGTGCCTCCTCTACACGTATCAGCATTACTCCCGGCTGAGTCCCCTTCTGGAGCGGCGAGCGCAGGCCGGTGCCGCCCCACGGAGGAGCAGCAGCGAGAGCAGAGCATGCGCCTCCGACCGCATCCGCAATCCGGGCAGCCCGGTGATGGGTAGCAGCCATCTGAGGCGCATGCAGGCTGCGGGGAACATCCGGAAACCCTTAGCTGGTCAGAGGCTCACATGCAACGCTCTCATTGGCCCGTCCTGTGCTGGGACCAATGGACCGAAAGGCCTTACTAAGGGGGGTGGTGCTTCCTATGTGAATGTGAAGGGAGGGAGCCCACGAGCTGGGAAAGAGAGAGGAGAAAACGTGTCTGTGGGAAAGGTTTTGAAGAAAGATCCCATCCATACAACTGATGTCCACACTTTGTCCAGAGGGCTTACTGGTGCAAAAATTAATGAAAAGCAGAAACGAGTTAAATTTGTTACAAACTATAAATAAGTTGTCATCCATCCATCCAACTACATATCCTGGTGAGCGCTGGGGGGGAGGTGTCCACCTTCAGGTCCTCTTTGGTTCATGACATGGCATAAAACTTATTTCTGTGTATTTTATGAAGGCTGTAGAAATATATATTCTGGGTATGTCATGCTTTTGAGCCTTGTTTACAAGAACCCCTAAAAGATTTCATGATAATACAGCCTTTCATTGAATTAGAAAATGTTACTTCCTAAACCACAGTTTTATAAACAGCTTCTAGATTTTATAGGTATCTCCAATTGCTTTAATTGCAGATTGACTTTTCTGCTGGCATTGCCAAGTTAAGAAAAAGACCACATCTGCACATCTGGAATGTGTGTGTGTGTCTGTGTGTGTATGTATGTGTGTGTGTGTCTGAGAGAGAGACAGCCTCATACCTCCTGGAGTATTCTGCCCTAACTGATCGATGGATGTGTGGGTGGCTTTGAATGCTCATAGCTTATTTATTACAGAAGGTTGCTGAACATAAAATGCAATATTTTAGAAAACAGTTATATATCTTCACATGCTGAAATTTCTACAGATACTTTTGAGGCAAGCTTTTTATAATTGTATACATTTGTACTGTTTACATGTGTTTTTCTTAGACGATGAATGTGCACAGCAATGTGTTTGGGATGCATTGTAGGTATAATTATTTATAATATTTACTATGGTAAGTTGTGTATAATTTAAAAATTGTTCTAGCATGCAATACACATTAAAAGGTGCAAAATGTACCTTCAATGAAAATAGTTTTTTGTATTCTTGAATTATCATCTGTGGGATTGAAAATTACATTATAATCAGGGATTAAATGAATTGTGAAGTCTAAAAAATTGGAAAATTGTGATTATGTGAAATATCCATGGCAGGTAAGATTTTTTTTCTGAAAAGTTATGGAACTGGAAATATATTGTGTGGCTCTTCATGTTGTACTTTTGTTTATGCATATGCATTTTTAAGTATTTATCAAGAGAAATATATAAAAATATAAGAAGTTAGTTTACAACTGTATGAAAAAGTACTGTGTTCAGGAATATATGTTGCATTTATTCCTGAAATTTGTTACCTGTGGGTCACAGTATGTGTGGGTTTTACAGACCTTTCAGTGTCTTATAGTTCATAAGAATTTTGAAGTGTATCCTAAATTTAAAACCAATAAAGGGATTCAGAATCGTTGTAACAAGGCTATAGTGTTTCGTTTTGTGTTCTTTGGTTATAATGATGAGCCCTTTTCAGTTTCTCATTTTAGAAATAGTGCATCTTAAAGCTACGCAATGCTAATGTGTCAGGTGCGAAAATAAAGGTTTTCAGCCATGCTTAATGAAGGATAACAAAAGGTTAAAATCTGCAGACGATACCTACGTAACCATTTTCTCAACAGCAGGCAATACAGACCTCGGAACCAGAGCCTACAAGGTCAGTGTTTCCCCGACAGAGGAGGACATATTTAGTCGTTACACAATAGGTTTGTCATGGATGATACATCGCAACAAATCTTAAAGTATTTGACAGAAGTGGAAGAAGCGGCAGAAGATGTTCTTGCTGATAAACATCAGGTGAAGTTGTTATCCTAAAAGGGCGTTCAAATAGCATCACCGCCCAAATAATTTAGTTTATTAATACCACCACTGAATGCTAACTGCAGTAGTTGCATGCCACGTTGCATGCTAGTTGCAATAAATTATAGGCCGCATTGTCTGAAAAGTGTCCCCGATAATTTTTATTTCGGTATGTTTCAGATAGTAGATCTTGATGTGAAGCGAAACATGAACAGAGAGGCGCTCAGCGCGCTACGTAATGAAGGCGAGACAAGCAGCGGTGAGAATGGGGATTGATCGTAAACATCACGACACCCGTCACATAACCTAGGGGTTTAGTGTTATTCAACAGGATCTGTTACTCATTCTTACTAAATAATAACGTGAAGTACTCTTCTAAAATGTAGCCATATTTTAAAAAGACATGGGAGCGGTGTCTTCGAAGAAAAGATATTTGTGCAGCATTCAGTTAGTTGCTACTGAGAATCACGAGAACCTTGTAAACTCGTTTCGTACTAATGAATACAGACATCCAGATCGGCACTTGTCTTAGTATATAAAATGATGGAATTTTAAATCGTAGTGCGTTTTTCTTAAGAACAGTAGTGTTCAGTTATATGTTGAATCATATAAATGCAAAATCACTTAAATTTTCACATAATAATGATAACCCCACACAGGCAAAAAATAAGGTTGAATAAAAACACATCCTGAATTTAAAACGTCCAAAGGAGTGAATCACAATAGTTTTTGTCATTCTATTCTCTAGGTCCAGATTTTCCCCTCATATGTCCCTTTCTGTTTCCTTACAGAAAAAGTTAAAGTCTGCTTTGGGAACATGTTTATAAAACTACCAAAGAAGACAACGAGAGAGATGATCCAAAAAGGTAATGTAGTTATTCATGGCATTGCCTTGGTGCAAATCTGGATTTTGCGGCATTGATGTTTTCAATCAGTGCTGGCTAAATTATTCTCGTTTACCTGAACAGACCAGGAGCAGTTGGAAAAAGAAATAAGTGACATCCGTAAACGTCTGAAAGCAAAAGTAAACCATCTCAATGAGCTACAAGGTAAGGGTCCAGTTTGTCTCATATTATGCATTATTCGTTTTGACCCTATTACTGAACATTTTGGTAGATCAGCATTGTTATTATATGTTCTTACAGAAGCCTTTGGCAGACAATAATGAGAGCCTTCATCTTCTGCACATGGAGCAGATGAAACAAGCCCCTGAATATGATTATTTGAAGTCACTCTTCTTTTCTTTTTCAGGAAAGCCTGAGCTGACAGGATACAGCCTCTCTCCTCTAAGCAAAGACGAGATGAAAGCGATCAAGCAAATGCTAATGAGATGAGCCATGTGCCACGGAGTTCTTAATTGTGCCATAATTCATACTTTGAGAAGGGATTTTGGGACTTTTGGGACAGTTGAAAACCCGTCACCTCCAACAAAATTTCTGTGCTAGTCCTTATGGGATGCCCATGACATTTTCTGAGGGAAACGGACCATCCTGTGCCTTCTGGACTGCTTTTTCAGTTTCTTTCTGTGTGCTTTAGTAAAATGAATAAAGCTGTGAATATGAAGGCCTGTTTTAACTGATCAGTGTTTTTTAATTGATTACTGATGATGGATGAATAAGCGGCGGCCAGCTCAGTGGGTAGCGCTCTAACCTCCCTCCTCCCCTCCTCTGTGTATGTGGAGTTTGCCATGTTCTCCGCATGTTGTGGTGGCTTCTGGATGCCAGACCAAAGGCAAGCAGCAGACTAACTGGTGTCTTTAAATGGCCCATAATGTATAGTTGCATGTGCCCTATGACAGACTGGCATCTCATGCAGCCCTGCGCCCTGTGCTGCCTAGCATACACTCCAGGTGGCCACCTGCAGTCCTGATGAGGAGTGTCTCTGTGATCAGATGGTTGCCAGTTCAAATCCTGTAGCTTAGCGGTGGCCAATCTTATCCGCAAAGGGTCGGTGTGTATGCAGGTTTTTTGGATAACCTTTAGGTCAGCTGTTCAAACCCAGGTGTGAGGACTCTTCAGCCAATCAGTCCTCTAATTAGTAATATAATTAGAGGACTGATTGGCTGAGGAATCCTCACACTTGGGTTTGAACCGCTGACCTAATGGTTATCCCAAAAACCTGCATACACACCGACCCTTTGCGGATAAGATTGGCCACCCTTGCTGTAGCTGGTAGAGTAATCATATCATTGCTGGGCCCTTAGATGTGCCAGATAAATGGCTCACCCTGTACTCAGAACCAAAGGTTTATTTTCACCTCTATGTGTGTGTGTGTCCTACAGAGGAATATGAGAAGATTGAATTTCATTATATTTTCTATTTGTAGAATTACAATAAGGGCAATATATTCTATAAGCCATTTATTGATGAATCGGTATTTATGGAAAGCAGATTTATTTGGTTTGTGGCTCAGCTGGTTAGTGTCCATGATCGGAAGGTTACCAGTTTGAAACTGGGACAGGCGAAAAGACAATTTCCTAATGGGGGGGGGGGGGGGAAAAAAAAATTTTCACGGGGGGGGGGGGGGGGTCAATAAAGTATCACTGTTCTGTTTATTTTGAGGCTTTAAAATGCAATAAAAAAAACATCTTTTGAGTCTTGAGTTTTTGGAACGTCAGTGTTACAAAAATGCTTGTTTTCTTACTGCTGCTGCATTAAATTCTTCATTTAAATTGCATTTAAGTTACAGACATAACAGCTAAAGAACATTTGTACTGTATTTTAGTTTCCCTGCATATAACATCACTAGGTGGCGATATGTTCCAAGAAAATAAATACTGTCCTACATTATTGAAGGTTACTGAATGGGTAAGGAGCTATTTATTATTATTATTTTTTAATTTGAAAAGTGTTCATCAGCAGCAAATAATCTGTACTGATAATTTTAAAAACTAACTTGGCCTTGTATTTGCCTTTAAATATTCATGTGAGTTGAATTATTATTTTTAATAAAATATTTTTAAAAATATTTTTTTTAATATAAATTATAAATAAATATATATTTTCTTATACATAGAACACTATTGTGACCATACTGGATATTGAGAATTTGTGAACTGTGAGTGCAAATTAGGGGGGCACTTCTCCCTGCTCTCTCAAATGTACATTGCTTTGGATAAAAGCATTTGCTATATAAATAAAATGTACTGTAAGATAATAGAACTTGATTATAAAAGATGATGGATATTGCTGAATCTGGGCCTGAATGGATGAATTTTAAAAAGTCACTTTATGTATGTATGTGTAATTTTGTACAAACACTTCTGCATGGCATGTGTAGTAGCAGTACATCGCAACCCTTACTATTCTCACAAGTCCATCTTACGGGCTCACCTTGTAACATACACTGATCAGCCATAACGGCCAAAACAGCTCTGACCCATTGAGGCATGGACTCCACAAGACCTCTGAAGGTGTCCTGTGTTATCTGGCACCAAGACATTAGCAGGAGATCCTTTAAGTCCTGTAAGCTGTGAGGTGGGGCCTCCATAGACCCGACTTGTTTGTTCAGCACATCCCACAGATGCTTGATGGGATTGAGGTCTGGAGAATTTGGAGGCCAAGTCAAAGCCGAACTATTTTTCATGTTCCTCAAACCATTCCTGAACATTTTCTTTTTGCAGTGTGACAGGGTACATTATCCTGCTGAAAGAGGTCACTGCCATCAGGGAATACCACTGTCATGAAGGGGTGCATTTGCTCTGCAGCAATGTTTAGGCAGGTTTGTACGTGTCAAAGTAACATGCTCATGAATGCCAGGACCCAAGGTGTCCCCGCAGAATGCTGTGCTGAGCATCACACTGCCTCCATCAGCTTGCCTTCTGCTTGTAGTGCATCCTGGTGCCATGTCTCCCTCAAGTAAACAACACACACACATAATACACTGTGTGTTCTGCCACCTTTCTGTAAAAGCCAACATTACATTTTTTCAGCTTTCATGTGTGGCCAGACTGGATGGACTAGCTTTTGCTGAATGAATGAGCCTTGAGTGCCTATGACCCCGTTGCCAGTTGGCCTTCCTTGGACTCCTTTTGGTAGCTACTGACCACTGTACACTGGGAACACCTCATAAGACCTGCCGTTTTGGAAATACTCTGAGCCACTCACCTAGCCATCACAATTTGGCCCCTTTCAGTGTCTCAGATCATCATGATTTTTCTTGCTTCCATTCATCAACTTAACCGACTGTTCACTTGCATAATATATAATGGCACCCTTTACAGGTAACCTGGTAACAAGATAATCAATGTCATTCATTTCACCTGACAGTGGTTTTAATGTTATGGCTGCTAAGTACATGATTCCAGACATGAAAGATGTGACTTTGCAGTGCAGAGCAATTATGCACATCAGTGTGCACATCACTACGTGTTCTGTGATGCTGTGCTCTGAAGACAGAACAAGGTTTAAAATCAGAAAACCTTTATGATCCTGGAGGAAATTGTTTGTGATTACAGACCACAATTTCTGTGTAAAAATAAATCAATATAGCATATAGAGATAGTAAAACACAGCTGGGTGAATATGCACAGTATAAGACCCAAGACAGATGAGGGAGAAGTTTCATCACTGTCTGCTACAGTGCAGAATTATCATCCCTGAAACATGGACAGGTCTGT